GTGAGTGTTCATTATTGGTTTTCTTATTTTCTCCTTCGCTTATTTTTATCATTATCATTGCTATTATGCTATCTTCGCTTTATCGTTTTTTTTATTATTATTATTATGCTGTATTCACTGAGGTATGAATACGCCTGCACTAAACGCTCGAACACTGCGCATCACTTCCTCCAAGTCGAGGCAGGCGGCGTCTTCCAGCTGTCTCGTGCGTCGAACCGTCGAGACTCCGCCGGCCAGTCTGCCCCGACGTCACCTCCCTCGATTAACCATCTGGCGACAATCAGAGGGCCAACTGCGGGAAACTTCGGTGATGAAATGAAGATAATAGTGAGCCCGAAGGATGATGGACTAGCGAGAAAGTGATGGCGGGCCGGACCCATGGCGGCCTGATGGCGCCCTAATGAGTTTTTAAAGTTGTAGCCCGGAACAGGAGGAGCGCCAAGGACTCGGCTCCGGCTCCTGCTGTTGCCCTCCGAGGCTTGTCCACCGCAGCTGCGTCGCCGTCATCGTCATCTCTTGCTTGTTGGTCGTCCGTGGTGACGAGCGGGTGTGGTTGTGTCCGCTGGTGCTCGCGTTTGCCTCGACTGGTTGTGACATACAATTCCTCTCGGTCTATGCTTTATTTTTCCTTCTTTTAAACCTTTTTTTGACACCCTTACCACACCCATACGCATTTAACCACACCTCACTAGCTCACCCATTTATTCATTGATAAAATTACTACGCAAGCATTACATCCGCCCCATTCATTTTGGCTCATTGGTTCCTCTCCCCATTACGCCACACAACGCCGAACCACCCGACCTTGCTAAGCCTAATTCAGGACTCCTTGGGCTGGAAATAACAGAAAATAAGACAATCCCAAAGTAAATGCAGAATATTGTTCCCGATTACAAAATACGACAGATAGGGGGGATGAATAAAAGAAAAACAAAGATATAAACAGTTGAAATAGCATTTTTGAAAAAAATGGACAGAATTAAGACCCCGAAAATAAGAACGAATTTCCTATGGTCACAAAAAAGCAACTAAAAACTATACAAAAAAAAAAAAAAAAAAAAAAAAATCCAAAGAAAAGGCCTAAAGGAAATGAGCCAATCGTTCAGTCAGCAGTAAAAACAAGACGCACTAAAGAAACTCCCAGAACAAGAACTTGAAATACTTTTAATATCCTAAAAAAAAAAAAAAAAAAAAAAAAAAAAAATTAAGCAAGAGATTCTACGCTCCCCCCCCCCCCCAAAAAAAATAATGATAACAAAATAAAATAAAATAAATAGATAATAATGATAGCAAATAAATAAATTTAAATCAATACACTGATTAAATAGATAAAGCAATATTAGCCCGACCCCCTTAATTAAAACGACCCCCCTCATCCCCTCGAAGCTAGTGTCCCCCCAAAACAAAGACCCCTTAAAAAAGGACCCGGAGCAAAGCAAGGACCGGAGCCAAAGCAAGGACCCGGAGCCAAAGCAAAGGACCCGGAGCCAAAGCAAGGACCGGAGCCAAACAAAAACAAGGACCCAGGGGCTAAAGCAAGAACCCAGGGGAAAGCAAGGACCGGAGCGGACCCGGAAGCAACCGGAGCCAGAGCAAGGACCCGGAGCCGGGAGGAGCCAAAGCAAGGACCCGGACCAAAGCAAGGGAGCCAAAGCAAGGACCCGGACCAAAGCAAGGACCCGGAGCCAAAGCAAGGACCCGGAGCCAAAGCAAGGACCGGAGCCAAAGCAAGACCCGGAGCCAAAGCAAGGAAGAGCAAGGACCCGGAGCCACAAGGACCCGCCAAAGCAAGGACCCGGAGCCAAAGCAGGACAGGAGCCAAAGCAAGACCAGCCAAAGCAAGGACCCGGAGCCAAAGCAAGGACAAGCCAGAGCCAAGGACAGCCAAAGCAAGGACCGGAGCCAAAGCAGGACCCGGAGCCAAGGACAAAAGCAAGGACCCGGAGCCAAGCAAGGACAAAGCAAGGACCCGGTAGCAAAGCAAGGACCGAGCCAAAGCAAGGACCGGAGCCAGCAGGACCCGGAGCCAGAGCAAGGACCCCAAGCAAGGACCCGGAGCCAAAGCAAGGACCCGGAGCCAAAGCAAGGACCGGAGCCAAGCAAGGACCCGGAGCCAAAGCAAGGACCCGGAGCCAAAGCAAGGACCCGGAGCCAAAGCGGACCCGGAGCCAAGCAAGGACCCGGAGCCAAAGCAAGGACCCCAAAGCAAGGACCCGGAGCCCAAAGCAAGGACGGAGCCAAAGGACCGGAGGCCAAAGCAAGGACCCGGAGCCAAAGCAAGGACCGGAGCCAAGCAAGGACCGGAGCCAAAGCAAGGACCGGAGCAAAGCAAGGGGAGCCAAAGCAAGGACCAAAGCAAGGACCGGAGCCAAAGCAAGGACCCGGAGCCAAAGCAAGGACCGGAGCCAAAGCAAGGACCGGAGCCAAAGCAAGGACACGAGCCAAAGCAAGGACCGGAGCCAAAGCAAGGACCCGGAGCCAAAGCAAGGGAGCCAAAGAA